ACTCCAGCGTTGGGAGTCTCCACCAAGTAAGCATCAGGTGCTGCGGTGTCAGCCTCGGTACCTCCGAAATCGATGCCAGAATTGGGAGTGAGCGCGGTCGCATGAAGATTGGATGCACCCCAGGAACTGTTGAGTAACGTGGGATCAAAGTTGTCCTGGAAACCAGCACGTACGGCTGCAAGATGGGGTTGGCCAGGTACTGAGTCACCGTTGCTGGAGGCATGCTGCTGATCAAGATGCTCAAACAACGACACCGCTTGTGCGGCGGGTAGATTTTGTGGCAAACAGACCTGGCCAGGAAGTACCTCTCCTCCCTCCCCTTCCTCGGCAGAAGCCTTCGAAGTTGAGGTGGCGGTGAGAGTTTCAGAACCATCCAGAAGTTCCAAAACTTCCTGCAGACAGGTCGAGGCCGAATGCCGAGCCTTTGGATCGATGATCAGCATGTGCCGGAGAATGTCGATCAGGTCGTCCGAGTCCCAAGCGTTCACGGCCTGAACACATATGCCGCACCACACAGGGTTTGCCCCGTGATAAGGGGCTGGAAGTCCGTATACAAGCCTCAATATGACCAACCCCAAAGACCATATATCCGCTGCAGTCGTGTATTTCCGTGGCGCTCCGTTTTCCAGTGCTTCAGGGGGTAAATATGTGGCTGCCCCAATGGATCTCAGGCCCAAGGGCTTGAAGAAACCGAAGTCCGATAACTTGATCCGGAGAGACTTGTGGTCGTTCCGAGGCTCACGATACTGAACGAGAATAGTGCGGGGATTGATACCTTGATGCACCAGTGGCTCTGGCCGATCATGGAGGTATGACAAGGCGGACAAAGTTTGGTGCAAGATGGCCAAACATTCATCGAATGAGAACGGGTGGCGCTCGTGCACATCTCCGACGCTCCCAAATGGCATGTATTCCAGATAGAGGCGCGGTGCTGGGTCCATTCGAGAAGAACACAGCCGAACAATGTTTTCCTGGAGTGACTTGAGCACGACGGCGTGGACGAAGCGGACAGGGGTCTTCACTCACATGAGATACCTGCTTCAGGGTCTCAATTTCCTTCCGCCATGTTTTCTTGGAAAAATGCATGTGGAGGGGTTGTTTACAGAGGTACTCCTCCCCATTGCTGACGTTCCACTGATGGCTGAAAACTCGGGATGCGCCATGAGCGATTACGTCCTGCTGGATGAGTATCGGGTTCGAGAGGCGAGTATTGGCCCCGGTGGTCCGCTCCATGTCTGGGTAGGGCTGAAGGCCAAGTCCGCCGAGAAAGTTGTCTGCTGCTGTCCCAACGTTGCAGAATCTCTTGACATTATCGATGTACGCGGGCGAAGCTATGTCGTGATGGATGACGACAAGGCGAAAGCTGAGGTACTTGTGCGGCTGAATTATGAGTGACTCAACACTCACGGGAACTTCGAAACCGCTGGCAATCCAGTCGAAGCCTTTTCGCAGCTCGTCTCCTTTCCCGTCGTAGGAGACGGTCGTCCCTCGAGTGGAACCAAGATCGCGCACAACCAGACGATAGTGGCCATCGGCGAACGTGTTCTTATACGTCAGTGCAAAGTGACTGCTGCTGATCTTCGCCAAACTAGGAAGAACAATATCGCTGCTTGCCGACCTTCCAAAGATGAGACCTAACGAGGTCCGAGGGACGTGACTGAACCTGAGCTCGAGATAAGGCAAGGCTACGTCGTCGTCAAACTCCTGGTATTCCACTGTCGATTCGCGACTTGTGCGACTCTGCGAGTCCAACTCGGGTTGTTGCGCTCCCTTGATGCACCTTGGGTGGCCCTGGATCATGTCCAGCGCGTATCCCACTGCATCTGCAGGATACAAACGAGCGATCAGATCGGAGTCCTCCATGACGAAGGGCTGTCCACGTATATACTCGAGAGCGAAGGGACAGCAGCAAAGATGTCTTTCTTATGAAAAAAAAGTAAGAAAATTGACCAAGGGACGGACGAACCAGCTTGTCCTCTGGCTCACGGATGGTTGTATTCCAGGGCAAGTTGGCGGTTCCCAGGAACCGCAGCGATCCAAGGCTGCCTCAAAGGCCGCCCACAGCTCTCGAGACTTTTAAGGTACCGATTTCGATGTCGAATGAAGCCTGCTGCGCCTTGGGCCTTGAGCCTCTCGGCAGCCCAAGCCACGGCTCAACGGGAAGGAGGCGATGAGATGTCGGATGGTACGCTGTGACAACTGCAGGACCTACAGTGTGTGAGGCAACGTATAAATGTGACGCACTGTTCACAAGCGCCATTTGGCAATTGGTTCATGAACCGCCAGGCACCAACAACACTCTCTGAGCGATGTAATCTCGCATCTTGGTCACACTCTCCAAGTCTCAACACCATTGAACAGTTGAACATGTCCAATCTGCTTGGTTTTGCACATCAAGGAGATGGCGGCTCTTTATACCGCCCTCGGCAAAGTTCTGGCTCGTGATCTTGCCGCCTTCACCGATGCCGAGCTCGATCAGTAGCTGCAACACACTTCCGAGGGCGGCCCAACTGTCGTCGATGTCGCGGACCCCGAGAACCTTTCCAGCGATTTTATTCAGCGGTTGAGGTGAGTCTACTTATCCCGTGAGAGTGTGACGCGATTCTTCTTTACTGACCGTTCAGGACAGAGACCGGGCAGAGCGCGCAAGCATCGCGACGCATTCCCGTGCGGTCGACCTTGACCAAGTTACCGCACGGCTACTGCAAGCAACGTCATCCCGTTTTGCGTCGCTTCAACATCAATCCCCTGCGTCCGACGGCGATGAGTCCTGTGCTACATTTACCGGCCAGCCCCGGGCTCAACAATGAGCGACGGTGTCATGCGATGCTGGTCAATGACGGCGGTCGGCCGTTATACCCCATCAGCCTTCTAGACGACGTTTCTCAGGATCCAGGAGCATACAAGGAGATTCTACGGCCTTGGCTAGACGCGCCCGATCAGGATTGCCTTGATTGGGAGAGCGTGTTTGAGAAACAGGCGTACAACTGGCGCGATTTCCGTCTCTGGCAGGCATACAATAGGAACGACTCTTCTGCTGACATCACGCAACCCTGTGTGAGAGTTTCAAAGCCCTTCTCACGGCACTTCCGACACAAGTCATCAAGCTATACCGAGGCGCTCGGGAACCTTCTCGCACAATACGGTTTCACTCGTCCATTTCAGCTGCAGCATCACGCCGCAGACCAGGATGCGCTGACAACATGGATTGAGTATCTTGGTTTTGTGTGCGCGGAGCACTACCGGTCCGCTCAAATCGTTCAGCGGGGCCAGCCAGAGCAAGACGAAGCTTGGAAAGCCCTCGTGGACACGGGAGTTCTGCGGTCTTGCGAGACTCGAGAGTATTTTGACGACTTAAGTTCTGCCTACCGCATGGATGCCGAAGAGGCTCGGGCGCACCAAGTTGTGAAAATGGCCGAATTGGCAGTCGCAGCAGCATTGGACAAGAAGTTCCAGACCCCCAATGGTTCCCGACAAGAACATGCGCTGGAGCTGGACACATCTCGATCCAAGTTAGATGTTGCACTGAAGCAACTGGAGTCCGTGCAAAGACGGAATCATTTCATCATCAAGTTTAAATCAGGTGCCCGCAGTCATGGCCTGGCAAGGGAAGCAGCACGACACCATCATGCGAAGATCCAATGGATTCTGGATCAAATGCCTCTCGTTGAGGCTGAGATGAGGGAAGCCAAAGCGGCCAAGGGTAACTCCAACAGCCCCTGCAAAACTTCCAATGGTAGTGGAGAGCCGGGAGTTCAAAGTCGCCGAAAACGATCTCTGGAGCAGAGCGAGGATCAGCCTGCGAAGCCTCGAACAACTGCCGGTGTGCAACCGCCTGTGCAGACAAGGAATGCTTACAAACGCACCCACCTTGACAGGACAGAAGATGGACATTTGCAAAGACGTTCGAAACGGCTTCGCAGGGATCTTGATGGTGTCATTGCGGAAACGACAACTTTTCGAGATCGCCCGACTACCCGCAAAACCACTCGATCCCACCAGCCGGACGCAGCACCCGAAAAGCCCAAGTCACCCACCCGCAAGTCGAAGCAGCATACCCGACGCTTCGCTGCGTCAGACTCTGGCGTCGCTCCGCGAAGGAGCCGGCGACTCACTAATGGCCAGCCGGAGTTTGGTCTGCTGAAAGAACGACGGGAGGTAACATCGGTCAAGGAACCGGCGCAACGGTCTTCATGGGCTAGACAACAAGTTCGAGCTCCGCTAGCCATTGTCCCGAAATCCAGAGGTACCACGGCATCTAAGCAGGCACCGACGGCCCGCAAGAAACGACGGACGAGATGAGAGTCCTCAAAGACCTCTCGTCGTACTTATTGCTGTTGCCGCGATGATAAATCATGATCTGACCATTCCATGTCATCTCGTGCCTTTGAGTTGTTAGCAGATACCATGGAGCGAGTGAATTTAGAGCTAATGCTTGTGGGCGAGGGCGTTCTGAATCCAATAGATGCCCCGTTGTTGGGAGACAGCGATCTAATATCTCATAATTTATACTCTTGGTCAAACAAGGCGTGGTTCCTTTTGTGGCTGACAGCAAAGACAAGAAACGGAGCTCGTTCCTCTCTGTACCCCCGAGGCCATCTCCAACATTATCGACGGCAGCTGGAACACGCATGCACCTGCCATACAGCGGGGAAAGGAAATTCTTGCGCTGCTTATAAGTAGTACTCAAGAACTTTCTTGAGCCCACGGAAATTTGGAAGGTCAGAGATGTGCAACCCCTCGTCAGCCTCAGCCTTCGTCAATCTCATGGAAATCCAGAGAGTGCTACCAAACTCTCTCCACTCCAAAAAGAGTTTGCTTACTCTAGTGCCTCGTGTTATCATGTAGCTGCTGGAGAAGCAAGGTTATACTCTGGAAGTGCATTAGGAATATGTAACTGAATCCTGGAGCACAACGTGTAAGGGGCAAAAATCGCGCACACCTTAAGCGACTCTGTGTTCCGCAAATTGCACTGAAACTCCACTCCACTGGAGACTTAAGGCAAGGTGGCCGAGTGGTTAAGGCGCTGGTTTTAGGCGCCGAATGGCGAATACACCAGTGGGAAACCGCGCGAGTTCGAATCTCGTCCTTGTCATTTCTTTTTCCCGTCCTCTCACACGAGAATAAGTCTTCACAACCTGTCGTTGATTTGTAGCATAGTTGACCCCTACAACAGGCAGATTATGTAGTTGGTCGGCGAGGCAGATTCTCTCGCTTCGGTTTTGCACAAACTCAACAACCCTCTCTCAATTGGCCTCGAAAATCTTAGGTCCTCCAGTGTAAGAGGCTCAGAGACTCAGCCGGCTTTGATGCAACCTCGCGGCGGGTTTCAGTTGGACCTGTTGGTCCAACAAACAGACTGGTTTGGCATTGGGGCGTTGGAGCGGCAATCCATGGGTTGCGATTGGGCTATCCAAAGATGTTGGAGAGAGAACCATAAAGCGTCCTTTTTCAGGATGCAATTCATGACTTCACGTGTCTGAACTTTGCTCCTTAGTTGCCCAGTGCATCAGCGGACATCTGTCTCTCCCCGTCTCCTAAAAGCCATGAAGCCATCGGACCAACCCAAACGCGAGATGTACGAAGGCGCGGTCCTCGACGTTGGCCGTCATGCAGGCACTGAAGCGCCCATCGGTGCGGTGCCGAAGCCTCAACTTGGAGGTTTGTTTGAATTGAACGATGCCGTTATCAATGGTAGGGGCCATCGCGGGCATATCTGCCCCCTTTTATGCGTTGCTCATCTGACATGATTGCTGTTAGCACTCCCCGTCCCGGGCTCGAAGGTCCTGAGCGCGAACGAGTACGGCATGTCCCTCTGGGGCCAGACGGGGAGAATCGTGGTTGAGCTTCCAGATGGGGAAATAAGAAGCTATTTCCTCAAGGTATGTGCTTGACCACTGAAGTCTATCTCGATGAGTTTCGATTCTTACCAGAATCCCGGGCTGGCAGACAGTGGCCCTTGATGATACAAGCCGAGCCATGATGCATGGCGAGTACGAATCTCTCAAGGCAATTCACGCTGTGTCTTCCAATATTGTTCCAGAGCCCTACGCCTGGGGACAGTACAGTGACTCAAACACCTACTTCCTTCTGGCAGAGTTTCGCGAGGTCGGCTAGCAGCCGCCAGACCCAGTGAGGTTCACGAAACGCCTGGCAGAGATGCACCAGAAGTCCATCTCGCCGACAGGCAAGTTTGGATTTCACACAACGACCTGCCACGCGAGGCTGCGGCAGATCACCGACTGCTGGGAAGACTCGTGGGCGGTTCTCTTCCGCAAGCAACTAGCCCACATGATTCAGCTTGACGAGGAAAAGCACGGCGAGTGGCCCGAGTTCAAGCTCGTCACCCAACTCGTCCTCGACAAGGTGGTCCCGAGACTCTTGGAGCCGCTCCAGTCTGGCGGCCGCAGCATCAAGCCCTGCCTTGTGCATGGTGACTTGTGGGACGAGAATACCGCAGCAGACACGGCGACCGGTGAGCCGTTCATCTTCGATGCCGGTTCGTTCTACGCCCACAACGAGTACGAAATCGGGAACTGGAGAGCTGTCAGGCACCGGCTGAGCGCGGCCGCCTATGTCCAGAACTACTTGCGCGAGTTCCCCGCCTCTGCACCAGGTAAGCCACCAACGTAACTCGGGGATGAGTTTTTGGCATTAATCATCCAACTGCTTCGACAGAGGAAGAATGGGATGACCGAAACCTCTTGTATTCGCTCCGGTTTGATCTCGGATGTGCGATTCTGATTCCCTGCAATCAGCGCCAGGTGTGAGTAAATGCCATATCCACTCATCGTTCTTTGTAGCGTTCTGACCGCTTGTAGAGTCAAGGAGAACATGACGATTCTGTGCAAGAAGTTCTTCCCCGACGAGCTCGCCGCTTTGCAAGCCTCCTTGCGCGAATCCAAGATTGAGGAGTAGCTGTTAGGTGGGCTATGGTGCTGGCGTTTCTGGTACATGTAGTTCAAACGAACGTCAGGTACGTAGATAGCTAAAGAATTGTTAGAAGCGAATGAAGAGGCCGGCGCTCGAAGTTGGTTGTAGCCAAGTGGCATAGAGCCAAATATAAATGCTCTGTTAAGAGAGGTAAGGTGCCTGCTGGAAATCGTCCTAGTGCTGCATCCTGAGGTCCTGGTACTGGTCCAAAGCAACATGGGATTCTGCGCATCTGCACGTTGTATGTATTTCTGAGACTCTGCGTGGCCAACCGCACCGCCTCAACCATGCACCGCAGGCTGCTGCAACCCCACCACGTTGTAGCTGGTAAATACTCGACTTCGTATTGCTCCTAAGCTGGGTATATATGTGTTAGTTCACATGAGCAAGGAAAATGGCCTCGATTTCAGACATTCAGCTCCAAATCTGGATCCTAGGTACCAGTTCTTTAAAGTCATTCCTTGAAACGGCGAAACTGACCGCATTACCTTCAGGACTGACCCGGGCAACCGAAGCCATCGCATGGAGCAGCAAGGTAGGAGGACCCTAGGCACACATCCATGATAAAGGGCGTAAAATCCTCAGGTTGCGACCTTGACTGATATGAAGACAGCAAGGGCCTTTTCGCTTGTCAGCTTTATTAGATCTCTTGGGTGAGTGCCAGTAGTAGCCCCTCACGGGCTCGCCGCTACTTACAACGTGTCCGGCATAGAAATCTGATCGGCCCAGTTCTGGGTGGTCTCCTCGCTAATCCTGTGGTCATGTACCCTTCAGTCTTTGCTCCCGACTCGATATGGAGCGTCCATCGATACCTGCTCCCCAACCTCGCCGTCGCCTTGCTGCAAACGCTTACCCTTCTCCTCGTCTTCTTTTTTCTTCGTGAAACTCATCCGCAGCTCACTGAGCGCCGTGACTTGGGACTGTCAGTCACGAAGATGGTCAACAGTTACTTCAAGAGAAACCATGTACAGCGCGGTGTCTATGCTCCGCTCCCGGCGGACCCTGTTTTCACAGAGCCTCCGCGGAGCACTGATGACTCGCAGGCGCACCAGCTGGACGACCTGGAGGGAGGTCAACACACGCAAGAAAGGAAAGCCACGCCAACACACACTCGCACATTCACTAGCCAAGTCGTGCTCCAAATCCTGGCCCTCTCCCTGCTCGCCTTCCACAAAGTCTCCTCAGACGCGCTCACAGGCACCTTTCTTTCACTGGGGCCGCCTCCCTCCCACCCTGATGGACCCATCTCCGCTGGAACCGCCAGCCAAACGCCCCCCTTTCCCCATACAAACCGCGGGTTCGGCCTCGACACGCGCTCCATCGGCACCATCTTCCTCACAGAGGCAATCTTCCGAGTCGCGATCCAACCCACCGCCATCCCCTGGTTCATCTCCAAGCTCGGCACGCTGCGCGCGTTCCGGTGCGTCCTCGGCCTCTACCCGGCCACCTACCTGGCGACGCCCTTCCTCCCTACCCTGCCGCGCCCCGTGGGCCTGGCGGTCTTGCTGCTGGACTTGTGGACAAAAGTCACGCTGTCGTCTGTGGGATACATTTGCTCGGCTGTTTTGTACGTACGTCCACTCAGGGCACCACTCACAAAAGTTGGGAGACATTGATTGGTCGTGTGGCTTCGGATGAAGAACTCACTCACTCTCATCTTGCGCGTTTTGTAGGATCACAAACGCCTCGCCCTCGAAAGAGGCGCTGGCTCGAGTCAATGGCGCTGCGGCGGCGTTCGGCTGTCTTGCGAGGTCTCTGGGCCCGCTCTTGACGGGGAAGCTCTTCGCTCTCGGTCTCCAAACGGGATATCTGCAGGTCCCCTTTTGGGCGTTGGGGGCTGTGGCGCTGATGGGCGCGCTTGAGTCGTTTTGTCTTTCGGACAATCAATCCTCCTGATGGCCTGGCAGGTGAGTTTCCGTACAAACTTTTCCAGGCGTTCAATCGCGGTGGATGGGACGAGGTGGGAAGCAGGGCAATCCAACGTTGCGATATGTCTGTCTCTCGCCAAGTGTGGCTGGCTGGGGAGCTGGAGAAAGCTGGCGTCTCTAGAACAGCGCGAACTCGCTTTGCTTCTCATGGAGAAGCGCAAAACCAGTCAAGCGAGGGGCGCCCCATGACCAAACAGACAGACGTCCAAAGAAACAACCATTTATTCCCTAGCCCCATGCGCTACCCTAAACAAAAACGCCTTCAAACTCCTCCACCCACCCCAAACCCAAGCCCTTTCCACCCTTCCCACCCTTTCTCTCCCTCCGTCCCAACACTTCTAGTACTGCCAAAGCACCTTATGATACACCACCCTGCCCCCGAGCATCTTGTACTCGAACCCCGTAATCCACGAGTCATTCGTCGGCAGCTTGGCGAACACGCTCGCGCCCTTCCACACGACGACCTGCTCGTCCATCTCCCTCGCGCTGCGGCTCACGAGGATCTTGTCGGTCAGGTCCGGGCGGCGCGCCTTGAGCTTCTCCTCGAGGAAGGAGGCAAAGTGCGGGATCTTGGCGCCGCCGCCGATGACCATGATGCTGCCCAGCAGCTCGCGGACCTTCTTGTCGTCGCCCTTGGCGGCGTTCTGGATGGATGTCATGATGGCGATGTCGAGGGGCGCGAGCGGGAGGACCGAGTCGCGCTCGATGGCGAGGGACTTGGCCGTGCGCTGCTGGGGCTGCGGCTGTTGCGGGCCGTCGAAGGATGTGCCGGGGAGGGTGGAGGTGCCGTTGGCCGGGCCTGGGGTGCCGCCGTTGCGGGCGCTCGGGGCCGGGCTGCCGCCGTTCAGGTCGCGGGAGGAACCGAAGATGTAGGGCGCGGGGACCGGGGTGCTGGCGCCTTCTGGGGCGGGTGAGGGTGCTTTGGAGGTGCCCGGGGTGCCGGTGGCGTCGCCGTTGCGGGAGAGGAAGTTGAAGGGTTGGGTGCGCTCTTTGCTGGGGGTTGCCATGTCGCCAGGGGCGCCAGCAAAGCTGGTTGTTGTTGTCATCGTCGTTGTCGCTGTAACGGACGGTTGGATGAGTGCTAGGATGGCGAGCTGGGCGGCGGATGCAGGGTCGTCGGGGACGTCGACGTCATAGGCGTTGTAAGACCGGTCGATGAGTTTCCGGCGGCCGTTAAGCTTGGTGGAGTTGTCGAATATTGAGGGTTCGTAGAAGCCCATGGCGGAGAGGATGA